TGATTCTTAATATGAGAGTGTCTTGCAATGAAAAAAATGCTGAACTTTCACACTGCATAATAGCAGCAATACTTATTTATAACACCGGAGATCATTTTATTGTATTGAAAATAGCATAGTACATGTAATTCTTTTACATAAAGAATTGGATATAGATAAATTATTAACATTAAATATATTATTTATTTATTTCAAACCCAATGAAATTGTTGTTATCTCTCTTTTAGCTAAATATGTACTAGATTTGTACTAGTTTAATATGTCATTTTCCCCAATATACATGTTAGTATAATATAAAGAAAGAAACATGATATAAATTGCACATTGCATGTACGTAGTGAATGCACCAGCCCGGCTATCTGGTAAGAAAATGTCTCCTAGTGTTGTTTTTTATTCTTTGTAGCTTCTATTTATTTACCAATGAGCTTATGTCATTATTTTGTCTTGTACAATTTACAAATAGATGTTTTTTTTAAAGAAACATGAATGTTTCAGTCTGTATGTATCCCTATTGAAAATTGACACTTATATATGTGAGAGTAGGCACTCTCATAAAATTGCAGAACATTGACAATAGGATTTTAAGATACATGTAAGTAAAAACATTTAATGACTGATTTTGCTGTATTTTTTTTTTAAATCACCATATAACAGTAAGGGCTAATTTTTGCACATTTTTGATTAATCTTAACCCTGTTTTGGTCATTCCCCATGTGGATTGGGCATGGCATAAGTGCTGTTTGCAATATGTAAATTCCTTTCTTTGTCTACTCCCCAACATCACAATACTTTTAAACACATTTATAAAATTTTCATTAAACAAGATATGTTTGTAAAACATGTATGCCCCCTATCAGCAGCCAATTAGTCATGTGAAAAGGTTATTATGCATGACTTCTGACCCAGTGATCAAACAATTAATAAGGGTTATCAAGTATCTACTGGTCATGACCTTAACCTTTGACCCCTCGACCCAAAACTCAATAAGGGTCATCTGCTGGTCACGACCAATCATCATACAAAGTTTGAAGTTCCTAGGCCTAAGCGTTTTTAGTTAATTGATCGGAAACCGTTTTTACCTAACAGGTAAATGTGACCTTGACCTTTGACCCCTTGACCCCAAAATCAATAGGGGTCATCTACTGATCATGACCAATCACCATTCCAAGTTCCTAGGCCAAAGGGTTCTTAAGTTATTGATTTGAAAGCATTTTTACCTACAAGGTCAATGTGACCTTGCCCTTTGACCCCTTAACCCCAATATCAATAGGGGTCATCTACTGGTCATGACCAATCACCATACCAAGTTTGAAGTTCCTAGGCCTAAGGGCTCTTTAGTTATTGATCGGAAACTGTTTTTACCTAAGAGGTAAATGTGACCTTGACCTTTGACCCCTTGACCCCAAAATCAATAGGGGTCATCTACTGATCATGACCAATCACCATATCAAGTTTGAAGTCCCTAGGCCTAAGGGTTCTTTCGTTACTAATCGGAAACCGTTTTTACCTACAAAGTCAATGTGACCTTGACCTTTGACCCCTTAACCCCAAAATCAATAGGGGTCATCTGCTGGTCATGACCAATCACCATACCAAGTTTGAAGTTCCTAGGCCTAAGGGTTCTTTAGTTATTGATCGGAAATCGTTTTTACCTACAAGGTCAATGTGACCTTGACCTTTGACCCCTTAACCCCAAAATCAATAGGGGTCATCTGCTGGTCATGACCAATCACCATACCAAGTTTGAAGTTCCTAGGCCTTAAGGTTCTTAAGTTATTGATCGGAAACCGTTTTTGCTTACAAGGTCAATGTGACCTTGACCTTTGACCCCTTGACCCCAAAATCAATAGGGGTCATCTACTGATCATGACCAATCACCATACCAAGTTTGAAGTTCCTAGGCCTTAAGGTTCTTTAGTTATTGATCGGAAACCGTTTTTGCTTAAAGGTCAATGTGACCTTGACCTTTAGCCCTTTGACCCCAAAATCAATAGGGGTCATCTACCGGTCATGACCAATCACCAAACCAAGTTTGAAGTTCCTAGGCCTTAAGGTTCTTTAGTTATTGATCGGAAACCGTTTTTGCTTACAAGGTCAATGTGACCTTGACCTTTGACCCCTTGACCCCAAAATCAAAAGGGGTCATCTCATGGTCATGACCAATCACCATACCAAGTTTGAAGTTCCTAGGCCTTAAGGTTCTTAAGTTATTGATCGGAAACCGTTTTTGCTAACAAGGTCAATGTGACCTTGACCTTTGACCCCTTGACCCCAAAATCAATAGGGGTCATCTACTGGTCATGACCAATCACAATACCAAGTTTGAAGTTCCTAGGCCTAAGGGTTCTTTAGTTATCACTCGGAAACCATTTGGTCTACGGACCGACGGACCGACAAGTGCAAAGCAATATACCCCCTTTTCTTCGAAATGGGGGCATAATAAGTATAATTCTGGAGGCATGGGGCTTTAACATTTTCAATTTTTGCAGAATCTATACATTTAATATATTATTTTGTGGAAAGTAATTAAAAATTGAATTTGTGGCAGTCAAGGCTGTGATAGTAATGGTATTTATTTAGGAAGCTATTTCTTATGAAAATATTAACTTTCATCAGAAATGATGATTTAATTGAGTGTTTTTTTACCAAAAGCATATTTATAATTGCTTTTTTGTCAGAAATCATAGTTTGTGTGCATTATTTGTTTATTTTTCAAATGCATGTCCTTTGCATTATAACATACCTTTGTTTTAGAATGCAATATTTGTATTAAACTGATATGATTATATGTATTTTGTCGGTATGTGTGCATTATAGAAACCTTATGTTATATTTATTTTTGTAGGTAGTTGCATTTGTGGATGATTATATTTAAATTTAGTATTTTGATATCATGATTGATTTCAATTTTAGTAAATTGTTTATAAGTTTTAGGTGATTGTTTGATCATAGAGCAATACATTAATTCGACCCAGAATCTACCTGACAATTTTTTAAATCCCATAGAAATCGTATCTGTTTATATGTTTTTTTTATGCCACCGCAGCATCTGCGATGCGGTGGCATATAGCGATTCACCTGTGTGTGTGTTTGTTTGTGTGTGTGTGTGTTATATAGATTATATAGTGAACTTAAAAAATCTTCTTGTGAAAAACCAATAGTCCAATTTCAACCAAACTTGGCAGGATTGATCCTTGGGTGAAGGGCTTCCAAAGTTGTTCAAAGAATTTCATTCCATGCAGAAATCTGGTTGCCATGGCAACCAAAAAGAATTATAAGAACAAATTTAAAAAATCTTCTTGTAAAGACCCAAAAGGCCTAGAGCTTAGATATTTTGCATAAGGCATTGTCTGGTAGACCTCTACCAAGATTGTTCAAATTATAGCCCTGGGGTCAAAATCGGCCCCGCCCCGGGGTCATTGATTTTCACTATATGTACATATAGTAAAAACTTAAAATACCTTATTGTAAAGACCCAAAAGACCTAGAGCTTAGATATTTTGCATAAGGCATTGTCTGGTAGACCTCTACCAACATTGTTCAAATTATAGCCCTGGGGTCAAAATAGGCCCCGCCCCGGGTCATTGTTATATAGATTATATAGTGAACGTAAAAAATCTTCTTGTGAAAAACCAATAGTCCAATTTCAACCAAACTTGGCAGGATTGATCCTTGGGTGAAGGGCTTCCAAAGTTGTTCAAAGAATTTCATTCCATGCAGAAATCTTGTTGCCATGGCAACCAAAAGGAATTATAAGAACAAATTTAAAAAATCTTCTTGTAAAGACCCAAAAGGCCTAGAGCTTAGATATTTTGCATAAGGCATTGTCTGGTAGACCTCTACCAAGATTGTTCAAATTATAGCCCTTGGGTCAAAATCGACCCTGCCCCGGGGTCATAATGATTTTCACTATATGTACATATAGTAAAAACTTAAAATACCTTATTGTAAAGACCCAAATAGCCTAGAGCTTAGGTATTTTGCATAAGGCATTGCCTGGTAGACCTCTACCAAGATTGTTCAAATTATAGCCCTAGGGTCAAAATTGGCCCCGCCCCGGGGGTCATTGATTTTCACTACATGTACATATAGTAAAAACTTTAAATACCTACTTGTAAAGACCCAAAAGGCCTAGAGCATAAGGCATTGTGTTGTAGACCTCTACCCAGATTGTTCAAATTATAGCCCTGGGGTCAAAATCGGCACCGCCCCGGGGGTTATTGGTTTTCGTTATATGTATATAGTAAAAACTTTAAAAAAATTTCTTCTAGCAATTGACAAATGCTAGAGGTTAGATATTTTGCATGAAACATTGTGTAGTGAACCTCTAGCAAGATTGTTCAAATTATAGCCCTGGGGTCAAAATTGCCCCCGCCCCGGGGGTCATTGATTTTCAATATATACATATAGTAAAATAAAAAAATCTTATTGTCTGTAGGTACAAGGTACAAGGCTTCAAAAACTTAAAATACCTTCTTGTAAATGCCCAAAAGGCCTAGAGCTTAGGTATTAATGCGGTGGCATAGCATTTTTCTCAAATGCAATCTTGTTTAAAACATGGTTAAAAGATTCAATTGTATCATCCCTTAATTGGAAACAATTTGGTAGTACTTCGTGCACTTTCTAGAACAATAATTGTTATGAATTTAATTATTAAAGGTTAAACAGGTAAAGTAAATATACCAAATATTATAAGTAATAAGCAAAATATGAACGTATATTGTCATTCCTCAGAAAGGTTTCTAACATTTACGTATTTTGCATAATAAAGTAAAAAATTTACATTCTTAGATATATTTCTTAGCTGAACTTCATCCTTTCGTGTAAAATAGCATACATTTAGACTAAATGTACTTACACCAGACATCGAGTATTTACACAAAGAGTCTGATATTCTTACAGGCTTAGTCTAAATTATGCCGCTACATCTGTGTAGGCTCTTACAACCAAATACCATAAATTAAACATTTAACAAATCTTGTTGTTGTTTTATTTTCCAGCAACATGTTTTAGCAACATTCCCGTGGTACATACAAACATTGAAGAAGATAGTGAGGCTGTTAGAAATCAGTTTAGTCAATTCCTGGCCAAGTTGACAGTTGCAATGTCAGACAAAAGAGAGCAAGAGGAACTTAGTATCATGAACCATCGATAAAAACTTGTTAAACAATTCTGTGATAATTATTGTGTCTTTGTAAACTATTTATTTTCTTGTGAAAAATTTTGATCTGTAGTTCTAATTAATTCAGATTTACCGTAGATTACTTTGAGTATTGTTGAGTAAACGTTTGTTCTAGTGGTGTATTCAAAACTGATTTTTTTTAAAAATGGAACCTGGACTATTATCAGGTTACTATGCCAATGCGGCATAGATCAATTTACCTGTACGAAAATGCCTACCATGACTACACCCTGATTTGACATGGGATCAGAAATTTATTCCCAGCCAGGTTTTTTAAGCTTTTCAGTTGACTATAGAGAAGACAGAAATCTATTTTTAGATTTTTTAGTATACAATAAAGAGTGTTTTCAGGGTGGATTAAATGAAATATTTAAATGAGCCAGAAAAAATACCACCCTGAAATGGAAATCCAGGGCAGAATTTTCACTCACACAGATTTCTAAAAATAGATTTACTTCTAGTTAAATTAAGAGTAATTTCAGGGTGGAATTAATTTGAAATATTTAAATGAGCCATAATTCACCCTGATTTCTGTTTAAAAAGTCAGGCCAGACTTTTTTCCTCATGTTATTATCCTGCCCCAAAAGTTTGCAAATCCCACCCTGAAATTAAAATAAAAATCCACCCAGATTCCTGTTCTTTTTGATTTGACAAAATGATAATTGAGATTTTTTTTTCCACTTGTCTGTATTTGATTTTCATACAATTAAATACATTTCAAAAGTCATTCTTGTTTGATATTTCCACTAGGTAGCTGCACACTGTATTACATAATTCCACACTATAGTATCTGGACTACACAATCTGTAAACATATGAAAGCAGTGTAGGAATATGCTATAGACAACTTTCAATTTATATATACTGTATTAATCTAAAAGAAAATGTAACACCTTAATATAGAGAAATATGTCCATACAGTGTAGTTTTAAAGGTATAATATTTCATTAATTGCAATCAAAACTTCAAAAGAACAAATGATTGATGAAATTATTTTAAAGAAGCAACAGCATTATAAACATATTTGTACTGACTTCATGAAGTCATTAATTCCATAAAATTTGCAGGAATGAATACTTTTAATAATTAAAACTGAAACTAATTTTGATAGAAAATGAAAAAAGTAAAAATTACCAGTAATATTTCTTCTATTGTATTCTTTTTTTCCAACTACACCATTTTCTTCTTCTTCATCCTCTTGTCACATGTTACTGAGCTATTTGGCTTCAACCTAAACTTTGGAAGTAGAAAAAAACAAATTTGCAATCATGTCATAATTTTTATTACATTTTAAGACTATAGTATTTTTTCTAAAATGGAATGATCAAAATGTTTAGTTTATTTAGAAAAATTAAGAATGATTTAAGTTTTCCCTCCATATTTTAAAACAAGTTTCCTGGAAATTTATTTAAAATCTTTTCAGAATACTGAGCTTACAGAATTCACAATTTTATGAAAAATTAAAAATATTAAGAACTATAATTCAATTATAACTTACCATTTATCTGTTACAATTGGCTGCTTATTTCCCTCCATTTTTTCAAATTGAATAACAAAGTTAACACATCTATTATGCTCCATGTTTATAATATAAGTTTTACTATAAAATTCCCAAGAAAGTTCTGTATAGCTGGGGTAGTTGAATTCTTAAATCTCATTTTCTATGTAATTATCAAAACTCATTTATGTATTATATTTTATTGTAAGTTGATTTATTTGAATTAAAATCACAACTAAAGCCTCCAATCTTTCTAAAGAAAATGACCATGCTGGAAATAATTTTCAGGGTGTGATATTTACTCTGGATTTTAAACTGATGTCGGTCAATCTGTGGTAACTTCTCTATTTTCATCTGCCAGATAGCCCAGTTTAACATAAAGTATTTTGAAATACTGTAAAAAGTTCCACTTGCAGGTTATTTGTTTATATAAACTGAAAGCTGACCTTAGAGTAGGAGATTCTGTGCAGATTGTGAGAGGATGGATACAAACTAAAAATCTAGAACATTACTTATTGCTGACCAATTTATGCATTAAATAATAAATTGTTTGTCATAAGTTAAATATAAATACAATCAATTACTAGAAACAATTATCAATTTTATAGATAACAATAAATCATGTTGAGCTAAATAATCTACATAATCTCAAAAAAAAAATAATAAAGAATAATTCAGTAAATGAAAAGAATTTTTGGTAAATGGAGTTTACCATAAATCAACTGAAACTTTCCAGAAATAAACATTATAATATATTATCTTCTGAATTAAAAAATCAATTTTATCTGAACAGCAATGTAAACTGTACTATGAGTTTATTACAATATTCATTTCTAATAACTCTAACTAAGAAAAATCAGGCTGGAAATAAAGAACTTTTAAGACTGTATTGAAACTGGTTCTTGAAAATTTTCTATCTTTGAAATATCTGGGTAGATTTTGCTTATATTTCTCCAAGTCAGTAAAATCTGTGTCAAAAATATTTTCAAAGTGCAAATATTCCTGCTTCCACCCTGACTTTAACAAAAATGAAGACGATGTCAGGGTAGAAAAAACTTGAATTCCCATGTGAGATTTTTTGAAAATTCAGGGTCCATGTCTATTTCACCCTGATTTTGCCAATTCTGGTTCAAAACAGGCCTGAATAGGTCCTGTTTTTTATAAAAGCCATGCTGATTTTTCGTACAGGTTGCTTTGCACTTGTCGGTCCGTCTGTCCGTAGACCAAATGGTTTCCGAGTGATAACTAAAGAACCCTTAGGCATAGGAACTTCACACTTGGTATGGTGATTGGTCATGACAAGTAGTTGACCCCTATTGATTTTGGGGTCAAGGGGTCAAAGGTCAAGGTCACATTGACCTTGTAAGCAAAAACGGTTTCCGATCAATAACTAAAGAACCTTAAGGCCTAGGAACTTCAAACTTGGTATGGTGATTTGTCATGATCAGTAGATGACCCCTATTGATTTTGGGGTCAAGGGGTCAAAGGCCAAGGTCACATTGACCTCTGAGGTAAAAACAGTTTCCGATCAATAACTAAAGAACCCTTAGGCCTAGGAACTTCAAACTTGGTATGGTGATTGGTCATGATCAGTAGATGACCCCTATTGATTTTGGGGTCAAGGGGTCAAAGGTCAAGGTCACATTGACCTCTTAGGTAAAAGCAGTTTCCGATCAATAACTAAAGATCCCTTAGGCCTAGGAACTTCAAACTTGGTATGGTGATTGGTCATGACCAGCAGATGACCCCTACTGATTTTGGGGTTAAGGGGTCAAAGGGCAAGGTCACATTGACCTTGTAGGTAAAAATGCTTTCCGATCAATAACTTAAGAACCCTTAGGCCTAGGAACTTCAAACTTGGTATGGTGATTGGTCATGACCAGCAGATGACCTATTGTTTTTAGGGTCAAGGGGTCAAAGGTCATGTAACATTGACCTTGTAGGTAAAAACGGTTTCCGATCAATTAACTAAAAACGCTTAGGCCTAGGAACTTCAAAATTTGTATGATGATTGGTGGTGACCAGCAGATGACCCCTTTTGAGTTTTCGGTCAAGGGGTCAAAGGTCAAGGTCACATCGACCTTGTAAGTATAAACGGTTTCTGATCAATAACTTAAGAACACTTAGGCCTAGGAACTTCAAACTTGGTATGGTGATTTTTCATGACCAGCAGATTACCCCTTTCGATTTTGGGATCAAGGGGTCAAAAGTCAAGGTCACATTGACCTTGTAAGTAAAAACGGTTTCTGATCAATAACTAAAGAACGCTTTGGCCTAGGAACTTTAAACTTGGCATAGTGATTGGTCATGATCAGCAGATGACCCCTATTGATTTTGGGGTAAAAGGTCAAGGTCACATTGACCTTGTATGTTAAAATGGTTTCGGATCAATTATAAAAGAACCCTTAGGCCTAGGAACTTCAAACTTGGCATGGTGATTAGTCATGACCAGCAAATGACCCTTATTGATTTTGGGGTCAAGGGGTCAAAGGTCAATGTCACATTGACCTTGTAAGTAAAAACGGTTTTTGATCAATTAACTAAAAACGCTTAGGCCTAGGAACTTTGTATGATGATTGGTCTTGACCAGCAGATGACCCCTATTGAGTTTTGGGTCAAGGGGTCAAAGGTCAAGGTCATGACCAGTAGATACTTGATAACCCTTATTAATTGTTTGATCACTGGGTCAGAAGTTATGCATAATTACCTTATCACATGAATAATTGGCTGCTGATAGGGGGCATACATGTTTTACAAACATATCTTGTTTAAGTTTGAATCACTTGAGTCAATATCATTTGTGACGTTGCTAAGCTTCAACATTGCTGTAACCTCCTCACACACCTCCCCTATTTGTGTATTTCAGAATGGTTGCTTTGATTTTTCTATGTAAAAACTGCTTTAAGTGCTAAATTAATTAGATGATGATTCTCAAAGGACATAATGCACAAAAATCATGTTTTTATGTTTATGTTTTATGTTTTGTAATTTATTTACTTAAACTAACACATTCCTCTCCAAATTCAAGCCGAAAATCAAACAGGAAGTAGGTCGCGAAAATATGTGATAATAGAATATTTTGCCGATTTTTAGCTCACCTGTCACAAAGTGACAGGGTGAGCTTTTGTGATCGCTTTTCGTCCGGCTTCCGTCCGTCCGTCCGTCGTCCGTCCGTAAACTTTTACTTTAAATGACATCTCCTCATAAACCACTTGGCCAATTTCATCCAAACTTCACAGGAATGTTCCTTTGGTGGTCACCTTAAAAGATTGTTCAAAGAATTTAATTCCATGCAGAACTCTGGTTGCCATGGCAACCAAAAGAAAAAACTTTTAATATCTTCTTTTAAAAAACCATAAGAGCTAGAGCTTAGATATTTGGCATGAAACATCTTCTAGTGAGTGTCTACAAAGTTTGTTCAAATAAAAGCCCTGGGGTCAAAATTGGCCCCGCCCCGGGGGGTTATTGATTTTCCCTATATGCATATAGTAAAAACTTAAAAAATCTTCTTTTAAAGAACCCAAAGAGCTAGAGCTAAGATATATAGCATGAAACATGTTCTAATGGATGTCTACCAAGTTTGTTCAAATAAAAGCCCTGGGGTCAAAATTGGCCCCGCCCCGGGGGTCATTGATTTCCCTATATGCATATAGTTAAAACTTAAAAAATCTTCTTTTAAAGAACCCAAAGAGCTAGAGCTAAGATATTTAGCATGAAACATGTTCTAATGGATGTCTACCAAGTTTGTACAAATAAAAGCCCTGGGGTCAAAATTGGCCCCGCCCCGGGGGTTCATTGATTTTCCCTATATGCATATAGTTAAAACTTAAAAAATCTTCTTTTAAAGAACCCAAAGAGCTAGAGCTAAGATATTTAGCATGAAACCTGTTCTAAATTATTGGATGTCTACCAAGTTTGTTCAAATAAAAGCCCTGGGGTCAAAATTAGCCCCGCCCCGGGGGGTCATTGATTTTCCCTATATGCATATAGAAAAAACTTTAAAAAATCTTCTTTAAAAGAACCAAAAGAGTTAGAGCTGAGATATTTAGCAGGAAACATGTTCTAATAAGTGTTTACCAAGTTTGTTCAAATAAACGCCCAGGGGGTCAAAATTGGCCCCGCCCCGGGGGGTCGATGATTTTCCCTATATGCATTTAGAAAAAACTTTAAAAAATCTTCTTTTAAAGAACTCAAAGAGCTATGGCTAAGATATTTAGCATCAAACATGTTCATGGTCTACCAAGTTTGTTCAAATTAAAGCCCTGGGGTCAAAATTGGCACCGCCCATGGGGTCATTGATTTTCCTTATATGTGTATAGCAAAACTTAAAAAATCTTCTTTGAAAAAAAA